TTATATTGTGCAACTGATCAATATATGAACGAAACTTGAAACCCAATCACAATTCTGAAGTTGAGTTTACAGTGAAACGTTTTTTAAGAAAAAATAAAGTAAAGTTGCAGTGGATTCCATCTCGTTGCGGCGTGGATTATAATGAGCGAGTAGATATATTTGGCTAGACATGCTACTACGGATGCCATCGAATACAGCATATTACCCCATTATACTGATTGTATTTGCTATTTGTATTATAAAAAGGCTATGTTACAACCTATGGAAAGAATATTTCGATAGACGTTCAAAAGAAAAGGGTATTTGGTACAAAACAGTACAGCCACAACCGCCTAAAATACCATGGATTGGTAACCATAAGCTACGAGTCGTGACGAGATGCATTAGTGATCTTCTTTATCTTCTTGAGCTTCGTACTGGACATCTTCTATCTAGGAAGTTTGCATTGTGATCAATGCGGTGTTCCAGAGGACCTAATGCATGTCATGATGGATTGTGCCCACAATGTTGCCTTTCGTATTGATAAGTGCTACCACATTTTAAAAGAATTCGCTGACTGTAATATAATTTTAACTAAGCCACATTCTGACGATATAAAATTATTAGTCAAACTTTACAAGGTGATGTTGACAGATTGATCACTCACTTCTCAATGTGATTGATCTGGGAACTTTATTTTTTGTAACTAAATGCCTAACTTCTTCTACTTTTTGTAATTAATTATGGATACACTATAATGTAATAAGTTTAAGTATACCTAATGTAGTTGTTATTGGTGATGAATTACGGGGCGACATATTCACATTGTGATTAAGCTCATTAATAATGAAATTTCAAAAAAAGAAAAAAAGCATTGATTTCATTAGGCTTTATCTGGGGGCACGGCAGTGACCCCGCCAAGTCGAGCAAAAAAGCGGCACGGCCGTACCATATTTTTCTCGAAGCAATTCAGGCCATTTTTGACTCCATATAACTTCGTAGTGGATAAAACTGTGGATAGAAGCCTGAATTTTCAGTAACCAAGTAGGCATTATATAAACATGATATTTCAAATTTCATTCAATTTGAACCAGTAGTTTAAGAATTATATATTATAATTAACTAGTCAAAGTTTCTTAATTTTGTCACTCACTGACTGACCGATCATCAAAACTCTCAGACACTTCTTGCAGATATAGAAGTTTCAAATTTAGAATACAATTAGTGTTTAGTGTATAAATCAAGGAAAAACTAAAATATTTTTTAATTTCGGTCCAGTTTTCTAGATACACCAACTGCATAAATAACTTTGTAATCCTATATAAATATATAGAATTACAAAGTTACATTTGTATATGTATAATAGGTGTAGATATGAAGGTATTCGAGAACTAGAAGGTACCGGAAAGGTAAAAAAGTAGGACTATCTTATCTACAAAAAGAAGTGCGATGCCATCAAAAACATAACTTGTAAAAAACCAAGTCTCGAACTAGGTTCTTCTACAGTAAGAAGTTGTGTGATCCATGTAATACCAAGTCGGTTAATTTATTCATTCCCTAGTTAAGAATTCCCTTCTGTTTTAAGTTATTACGTAATTAGCTAACCTAACAACATTTTATAGTGACCATATCAATGTTAAAAATCTTTTATGTTTTAAATATATAGATTGATTTGGCCATCGCACTAAGTAATCTAATTTAATATAATATATATTACTTGCACAGAATACCCCTAAACTTGCACAGATTATTTTGAGATATGTGTTTTCATGCGATGGCCAAGTGAATCTATATATTTAAAACATAAAACATTTTTAACATTGATATGGCCACTATATAATGTTGTTAGGTTAGCTAATTATGTAAAACTTAAAACAGAAGGATCCTTAAGTAGGGACTGAATAAATTAACCGACTTGGTATTACGTGGATCTCACAACTTTTTACGTTTTCTTAAATGTTTTCTTTTATGCTTTTATGTTTTTGATGGCATTACTTATTCACTATTTAATATACATGTAAAGAATAATAAAATGATATATAGACAATGATGAGGTACTACGTGAACAAGACAACAAGGAGTTTGTCCCCTAAGGAACGCCACAAAGCACAGTCCCAGGCTGCCTGCCTCCATTGACTTCCTGCATCTTTCACCAGGTAAAGCACAATATACTGCATGAAGATTAAATAAACTTATAAGAAACTAACTTACGGAACTTATATTACGCTTTGAACGATAAATGAAATTGTTAAATCATTCTTCTTCCTAGTTTGTTTATGATGAGGTAACTTATTATTATATAATTGATGATAGTTTAGTTACGATGTGATGTGATGATGGTTTAGTTTCGTATGGTAAGTATGGAGAACCGGAGACCCTTTTACTGAAAATGAGACATTCCATCTTAATCCTCAGGGGTGACAACGCATCTGCATTTTAACTCTTAATGGAGGATATATGTAGGTGTCTATGGACACAGCATCCACTTAGCATCAGGTGAATTGTGTGTTCGTTTGTCACCCATATTCTATAAATAATAATTTCTTGCTTCTATAGTACAACTACTAAATTATTACATACTCGTAATATATTTTTTTTAAATTAAATATAGGTTAAATCATGACGACAAGATGTAAGTCAAAGAAAGTCAGTTTAGTAATGCGTAGAAAGGCATTACTTAAACAATATTGCTACTGATATTATTTTGAAATAGTGAATGTAGCCCTGACAGTAATATAAAAATATGTGGGAATGGTTGTGTATCTGGACGCGACACTGTGTGATAGTAAATGAATATTCGAATGTGAAAGCATGTAGCAAGCAACGATTATTGGGTGCGTTTGGCAGAAAAAAGCGCTAGCAAGCGCTTATAAGCGCTGAAATAGTTTTCGGCCAGGACACGATTGCTACTTCAGTAACGCTGACACAATCCGCCATTTTGCTTATTTAATTTGTTTGTTTTGAAGTAGAGTTTATAAGTTGTTTTGTGCAATATTAGTTTTAAGTAATATAATGACATATTAAATAAACATATAAGTACATGTTATTAATTCATGATTGGTAAGTTTTTAATATGAATACTTTACAAACATATATTTAAATTAGGTTAGGTTCCCCAAACCAAAATAGCTACTTACAATTTGACAGCGCTTACCGCTTACGATCGCCATTTTGCTTAGAAGCGCTTGCTAGCGCTTTTTTCTGCCAAACGCACCCATTGAATTCGTTTTAAAATGCGAACTGCGAGAACAAATGAAGGGCGCACCGCACGATGTCAAGACCACAGAGTATAATATAATCACTACGGTCAGTCAAGACGTGAAAACCGACAGATGTGATTAGTATAGCATTATTACTTAATTATAAAAGTGTAAAATTGAAAAGACATAAACTGTTTTCTAGCGGACTGCGTGTCATTTTCCCCTTCAACCCTACATAAATATTAGGAAAATTTATATTATTCCTACGCGTTTATAACTCGAATATTTTAATTAATTTTCTTTATGAAACGGAACATATTTTTACAAGACTCATATTCTGTCCAGGAGTTCGTCTGACGCCAAGCAGAAGTGCATGCAATGCTGTATAAGAACGAACAAAAAGAGGAAAAAGTAAAGATTATGAAAGCCTTTTACGTGGTAGAGCCATACTGCAGTTATATTGTGGTTGTAGCAAGAATGCGTCGGCTTGACCATGAAGAACCACGCTCTCACAGAATACCATCGTAAAATAACAGTTTTTCATATGGTTAGCGTAGAGAACCGGAAACCCTTTTTAATAGAAACGAGCCGTTCCATCGTAATTCTCAACGATGACAACGCATCTACATTCTGCTTGTTAATCGCAGGTCTATGGGTCACAGCTACCACTTTCCCTTATTTTAAAAAGGCATTTCATCTTAGTATCATCATCATAGTCAGAGGGAGAGTCTGTAGCTTTCTTTGTTTTATTGCAGGTGTTCATGGGCTGGAGTTGCCACCTACCACTACATGAGATGATAAGAGCCGTGGTAGCTCAGATGGTTAGCGCTCGCTGTAAAATTCACAGTACGCGAGCAAACCGGGTTCGATCCCCGCCGGCACCAATGAAATTGTTTATTGCAATTTTAAGTGCTGATTTACCACATGCTCGGCGGTGAAGAAAAACATCGTGAGGAAACCTGCATGTCTGAGGAATAAGAAAAAGAAAAGGGATGTATAATCATAAATATAACACAAATGTATTTTTAAATACAGTTGTGTCAACGAAATTGACTATTATGCTATGCGTAAACGAACTATGCATTTCTTGGGAGAGGCGTGGACTTGTGAAGGGCTGTAATGATGATGATGATGAAACGAACTATGCGTCATTAGCAATAGTAGTCCACGATGCAACTGGGATCACTCGCGTTCTTTCGTAATATAGTCTTCATTATGAACTTTGTGATTGGTGGCGTGCCCAAAATATTGTGTCGTATTTCATTGATGGCACGGGTGCTATTGGTTCGTCATTCCTGTGGTAGAGTCATGCTGTAGCTATACAACGCGGTCACATTAACTTGATGCATGGCTTTGATGACGTCATTTTGGCGGTCAGGTACGGTGCGATAAAAAAGCATGTAGCTAAATAATACTAAACTATATTTTTGATTTTGGAGCACAGGTTTTATTTGTTAATCTTGCAGTATGTTGCATCATGTATTTTTTATACAATATAATTTAAAACTATTTTATGTTGATAGATAAATATTTTTTTTTCTTATTCCTCAGACATGCAGGTTTCCTCACGATGTTTTCCTTCACCGCCGAGCACGTGGTAAATCAGCACTTAAAATTGCAATTAACAATTTCATTGGTGCCGGCGGGGATCGAACCCGGGTTACTCGCGTTCTGTTATATTTACAGCGAGCGTTAACCACTGAGCTACCACGGCTTTACGGCTTCCTCGCCCTAAACCCTCTCAGAAATGAGGGGAGGCCTGAGCCCAGCAGTGGGACGTATATAGGCTGTACACTTTACTTTACTTAGATAAATATTTATTCAAAATTCATCTTCACTATAAATAATTGGTACAATATCATGGTCTAAACTGTCTTCTTCTTCACTTTCGATCTCGCTGTCGGATGACAGCTCTCCTCCAAGATCGATTACAAGTTGCTGCAGTACGTCGGCAACCAGGTCATCTTTTTCCCAGTATTCCTTGAAAATGAATAAAATAGTGTTATAAATTTACCACAAAATAATTGTATCAATTTAGTGAATTACTAATATGTACCTCCAAAAAAAGTACTTATGTTTTTTTATTCAGCATCACAATACAAACATAAATACATAAATACATACATACTTTAAATTTGTAATTTATTTACGAACTGACCTGTTGTAGTCTCTCGACATGGTTAACTTCTTTTTTCCAGTCTGATGCTGTGATGGAGTTTATTGCATCTCTGGTGAGATTTTCAATTTTTCTTTATTGTTGGTCTACTTTTTTGTATGCCACCCTCTGTTTGACCAAATTCCAGACATATTCAATGGGGTTCAGGTCACAATGGTAGGGTGGCAAACGTACAATTTCATGGCCATGTCGTTTCATTAAATCATCGACAATGTATTGCTTGGGCGGCTTTGTCTTTTTTATAATATGGTAGAGTTCTCTTTTTCTCATTTTTTCATCAAATGGAATATTGTTGTCACGCAGCTACTGTTGCATGTCTCCTTTTAACGTTGCACTTGTGGGCACCTTCACCGACTGCGTTGAGTGGTAAGGCGCGTTGTCAATGACGACTATACTATTTGGGGGCAAGTTTGGTATCAACTTTTCATTAAGCCATTTCAAAAAATTCTCGGTATTCATTTCATGATGGTAATCGCCAGTAGTACTTTTGCATTTGTATAACAAATCTGCATCTGGGATAAATCCGGTTTCTCCTCCAGCATGCACCAGAATCCACCGTTGACCCGGGTTAAAATTTTTATTCACGCTGCTATCTGTGCTGTTTTGCCAGCATTTTCTGACGGTATAATGGGAATGGATCCACGTTTCATCCAGGTAGATAACTGGTTTTTTACCTGCGTCGAGGTCATTGTTCTATTTCATTCGGCGCAGTTAGCGTTCTCTCCATGCGGCTATATCGGCTTTTTGAATTAGCACCGAACGCGCACTTTTACATTTTTTAAACTTATAACCCAACTGATTTATTTAAAATATTTCTAAGGAAAGTTTTTCCACCTTGAAAATTAAGATCTCTCTTAACAGCTGCCAAGATTTTTTTAAGCGTGGGTACTTCCTTTTTACAGTATAAAAGCTGTTGATGATATTGCGTATTGCGCAAATATCAAAATCACCGCGCAATTTTGTTCGCTGAATGTTTACGCTTTTTACCCGGTGTGTATAACTTTATTTCCCTCATTGGATTGTCTGTAGTACTGGGACTGGTAAAAATGTCAGTGCTTGGAACGGTGCTAGTATTTGGGGCTGTACTAGTACTTGGAGCCGTGCTAGTGCTTGGACTATCGTCGGGCAAAGAACCCGACGGTGGTATGCATGCCTTTTTGGCCTCCCTTTTTATACGAGTAAGAGTACTTCTTGATATTCTAGTTGCTGCACAGGTTCGTTTATCAACTTGATCTACAGGTATGCAAATGCGTTTATTTTTCTTCTCGTTCTCGAAAAACTGCAGCACTTTCAACACAAGATTTCTCCCTTCACTGTGTGTAGTTTTCCCCATGTTAAAAAATGAGTAGTAACGAAATAGTCCAAAATTAACAAAAACAGTCCAAACTTAAACAGTAACTAAAACGTAACAAAATGTCCAAAAACAGCCAAACTTAAACAATAACGAAAACGTAACAAAATATCCAGTAACAACAATAGCAACAGAAAACTAGTCAAAATATCGACGCGCGTATCGGTAACAGAGATGCTAACCATACTGACGATTGCCGGGGGAGCTAAGAGAATGCGGGGGGAAGGGCGGGGCCTCGCATTCCAGCGATGCGTCAAGTTAATGTGACCGCGTTGTACTTAAGTTGTAGAACGGATAGGTCGGCTCCAAAGACTATATAACCACTGTGGTTATATTCTCTATGGTCGGCTCTATCAGGGAAAGACGTAAAATAGTAGCTTAATGTTGTTGTGTTTCGTATGAGTAGAAAACCGGAGAACCTTTTAACTGGAAGGGAGACATTCCAACTTAGTCCTCAGGAGTGACAAGGCATCTACATCAATGGTTATTTAATCGAGGATAGATAATAATGGGTTACAGAATCAACTTGCCACTTATAGCAAAATATATATGTGAACTGTGTACTCGTTTGTCATTCTTATACTTACTGTAATAAAACCCACAGGGTGAAATGGGTACGTTTACGCCGCTAACGTATGATTTTTATTATCATGACACTAATTCTATAAATTGCAATAAAAGCCAATGTCAATGTATAAAGGATCGTTAGTTATATAAAAGATCGAATATATTGAATTGTATTTAATTTGAAATAAGTAACATCAAAACCGGTTCCATAATCACTCTCGTAATGCGATACAAATACGGAACAGGCTCTGAATATTATGCAAGATATTAAAACATAGCATTCCATTACTTTCAAAAAAGCAATCCCTTCATTTAAGTAATATAAATACCAAAGATTTTCGCTTAATTGCTAATATGTTAAGCAACTCAGTATTCCACTTTCATAAAAGGAATTCTTAATTTTTTTAATACATATTTATGTTTCAACCAGAATATCGTTTTGTTACCTTTGTATTAGGTATCAATACATATATTGTTACATCTTACTTACACTTTTTATATTGTGTAGGCTAATATTAGGTATATTTTTTAAAACAGTTACGAAAAACATGTTACCATAATTTTTTATTTAATGTGTCAATTAAGGAATGTCTCTGTTTCTATAACTTTTTTTATGATATGTATAAAGATCTGAAAAAGTCAAAAATTGTTCTTATTAAATACCCTTAATTAAAATTACTAATATACGCTCTCCATTGAAACATGCTCAGTTGCAGTTTCCTTGTGTGATATAATTTGTAATGATCCGTAGTAGACTCTGAGTAGTCCACGTAGCCCATTGGACCACCAAGCTGAATTGGCAACGGGCCGATTTTGTCGTATACTGTTACCATATGATGGGTTGGCCATAGAGCTCGTAGAACCAATAACGGATTCGGAAAACACGTGACGACTGATGTATTGACAACGTGGTATTATATGCAGGAAGTTTAAAGCTCAAAACCGTGTTTTGTGGTATTTATTGGATTGGGCCCATATTCAGCAGTAGACTTAGGAGGGACTATAACTGTAATTATCACAATAATGGTGATTAAATGGGCAAAGCAAAAATCCTACTTTACGCGTGTACTTTATGTCACTATACAAATATTGACTTCATCTGAAATTAGAAACCAGCGATAGAAACCTAGTAACCAGTTGCTTTGCCCACTAAGACACTTGGCCTTGAATTAAATTATATCAGATTTGCGAAATCCGAAGTATGAGACGAATGCATATTAGTTCATGACAAGCTAAAGTAGAGACGCTAAAATGTTAAATACTCGTAAGAAATCTCCGCAGCCAGCTTGAAGCAATTTTTTTTCGATTTAATTTTTAGATGGAGAGATATAGTCGCGGGTTATGCGGTTTGTATGAACACAGGCGGGTGTTAGACCGGATGTATGACAGCATTGTACGTGCCTTGAGTGAAGCAGCTAGCAAAACAACATTTCAAAGTGTATTCCCCACTAGGGCCCTTAGTATCTGGGAATAGTGCTAAGGTCGAATGTCAGGGGACGTGCCACTGATGCAGGTTACTGCAAAGCAGGTTAGAGGGGCGCTAAATAGAATGACCGGCGGCAAGTCTCCCGGCGTCGGATGTCGCATAGATGGCGTTAGCATTAATAAGTTACGCTGACGATATGGTGCTGCTCAGCCCAACGGTGGGGGGCCTAAGAGAAATGTTATAGATATGTGAGATGTATGCCACTGAGCAAGGGCTCAAATACAATGTCAAAAAAACAGAGTACATGGTCTTGAAGCCGCTGATAAATGTCACAATATTGCAGATAATGTTACCCTTAATGGCACGAACGTGAAATGTTTTCTAAATTTAAATATCTGGGACATATTATTACTGGTGACCTCAAAGATGATACCGACATTGAAAGGGAGCGCAAAGTTCTAGCGGTTAGAGGAGGTATTAGCTCGCAGGTTTTCCCGATGTACAAAACAAGTTAAGGTTACACTTTTTAAAACATACTGCCTGAGCGTATACACGGGGAGCCTGTTGGTCAAATACACCACAAGATCGCTTGAAGCCCTGCGCATCCAATATAATAATATATTCCGGATGCTGTTGGGACTGCCTCGTTGTTGTAGTGCATCAGGGATGTTTGCGGCATACCAAACAGATGAGTTTAACGCCATTATTCGCTAAAAAACACATCCCTTATTAACAGGGTACGAGCTAGCCACAACAGCATTCTGAGGACCGTAGCGGACAGGTATACATCGCCGCTGTGGAAATGTCTTGTGCAGAAACTGCTCACTGGCCCATGATGGTCTGTCTCGACACAGGGTGTTACTTTTTTCCCTCCGCTAAATTAAATAAAATTATGTGTCTTCCCTATTTTGAAGAGCACCTCCCGCCCTCCCTCAATTTCGTGCACTATTCCACTTAACTACATAACTTATTACTTACTTAGCGGTCAGCCGCCGTAGAGTCAACATCAACTGAAGATACCCCGCGTAGAGGCGAAACACGTGTCGTATTATCGTCGATGGTGTGTCTTTCCTAGAATAGTGGTGTAGGGAGTAATGGCGTTAGGATTAGTGCACGCAATTGAGGTAGGGCGGGAGTTGCTCTTCAAACTAGGGAAGGCACATCATTTTATTTAATTTAGCGGATGGTTGCAAAATAACTATTAATATCTTTATTATAATGAATTTCCGCAAAGTAACGCCTGATTCTATCAATATTATTTTTCCCTCGACTTAGCTGTTTTACTAACCCTTGTTATTATTATTTTTGTACTACTAACCCACATATAGATTTTAAATTATCTAAAATAAACAATTTTTATTTAATTTTTTTATAGTCTTCGATTGTTGATTGAAGTTTATAGTGCTAGAAAGAGAGAGAGAGAGAGAGAGAGAGAGAGAGGGAGAGAGAGAGAGAAAGAGAGAGAACAAGAGAGAGACCTAAAGATATGGGGGAGGGCCACATTGACACCCCAATAAAATAGTATCGTACTATATTTCAGTCAATTGTACTATAAATTATAGAAAAATAATAGAGTACGAAAAATACTATATTTTTGTTCTTAATTCCCACTTACGAGATGAACAAATCGTCTGAATGTAAAATTGAAAGAAGAAAGAAATAGAGCCTAAATTAACTTTATTATAAACTAAATGCTAATTTATATTATTATGAATCTAAATTGCTCAAACTTCTAACAATTATTTGAAAGGTAATAGATAATTATTGACGGTCGAAGCAAAAAGGAAAAAAAAATATATGAAAAATACATAACAATTAAAAATAAACGTGTACTTTGTTCTCCTGAATTTCTCAAAATACTATATTTTTGCCACTTTTTTGGTAAAAATACTATATTTGTTCAAAAAAAAAAAGGTAGCAACCCTAGAGTCTATCAACAATCATGGCTGTATTAACAAATACTACTACGAGTATGTAGTAGTAGTACGAGTTACTACCACTTACCTACCTATTTCTGTCGCTAAATAGCAATGATGTGTTCTGGCCTGGATGCGGCCGCGATTATTTCTGTCACCGATCTAGATATTTTAGGTCTGTCCATCTATAAAAATCATACCGAATGTGGCAACTATGGCAGATATCCTCCTTGTGATGTAATCTATGGAGAAAGCCCATGTTTATCTAATGAATAATGGTAGTATAATCTACCTTACCCTATCATTATCATCATTACAGCCCTTCACAAGTCCACTGCTGAACATAGGTCTCCCCCAAGTAATGCCAAAAAGCACGGTCCTGAGCCACCTGCATCCATCGACTTCCTGCATGTCTTACCAGGTCGTCACTCCATCTAGTAGGGGGTCGCCCTACACTACGCCTACCGGTACGAGGCTGCTACTTCTACTACCTTTCTTCCCCATCGGTTATCGGTTCTTCGAGCTATATGGCCGGCCGATTGCCACTTCAGCTTACTAATCCGTTGGGCTATGTCGGTCACTCTGGTTTTACTGCCGATATCCTCATTTCTGAGTCTATCACGCAGAGAAACTCCGAGCATAGCCCTCTCCATAGCTCGCTGAGCGACCTTGAGCGTCCTCATACGGCCAGCAGTGAAGGACCACGTCTCAGATCCGTAAGTGATCACTGGCAACACGCACTGGTTGTACACTTTAGTTTTCAGAGATTGAGGTATACCTGACGAGAAGATGTGTCGTAATTTCCTGAACGCTGCCCAGCCGAGTTGAATGTATATACCTTACCCTATAAATATATATAATTTTTATAAAAACTAACAATTATAACGTCATGGGTCAATCTTGTCCGTTAAATGGACAATGGACATATAGAGAATTTGACATTTTCGAGAACATTTAAAGATAGGTATTTTGTAAAATATGATACTTTTGATATGGAGACTGGAAATAAATAAATTAAGCATAAAGAAATACATAATTATATCACATGATTAAATTTACTTTGTTACGTTTCTCAAACGATATTGTGAAGAGTAGAGTTATGTGCAACCATTTTCTGAGTTTTCGAACTGTTTCTGGTCTGATATGTTTTAGCGATTACAATCTCAGAAAAAGGTCTCCAAATCTACTCCACACCAGACATCGTCACTCAGTCATTTTAATATTCGCACTTTTGAATTTCAAAAATAAAACCATTACCGGCGCAAACATACCACAAGGCTGCTTCCTTTTTTGTATCATTTTTGCTAATGTACGAATCTTGAGCATGTTAAAAGTTGAGAAATTTGCTTTCAATATGTATAGACTTTTTTTGCAGTTTTATTTAATGATTTAATATAATGCATCGAAGTATCTTCTGTACACTGTATTTCTAAACTGATAGTTGATATTTGTTCTCTTTTACATAATTTGTATCGTAGAGTCGTTTTATATACCTTTTATATACATATATAAATTGCTCATGGACACAAACTCAGATCTTAAAGCAATCATTTGTAGGTTATGCAAATGGTTGTCTAGTGCAAGAATTAAATTCGCTCCCGAAGCACTGCGGCCAAACACACTACATCACGAATAAGCAATAATTTGTGTTTGAATATCGAAATAAAAACGAATAAATAAAATAAATAAACTCACAAAATGCGAGATTAAAAATGCTGCTTAAAGGCTACGGTTTATTTGACGAGTGACACAAGGAAGTAATTATTCGCAACTAGCGTCTATCTTAGCATTCAGGAGTTAGGTAGTTCCAGACACTTATAATCATCGACTACTTGTATGCTTTAAATTATCATTCATTTATTTTAGTTTATTTCTCTATAAATAGCTTCCTTATCCTGATCTAGATGCAGAGAGGGAGTGACGACCTGGTAAGACATGCAAGAAGTCAATGGATGCAGGAGGCTGAGGATCGTGTTTTGTGGCATTCCTTAGAAAGGCCTATTTTCAGCAGTGGATTTGTGGAGGACTGTAATGATGATGATGCAGACATGGATTTCTGTCAATGGAATAGTTACAGACTAAATATGATACTTAACCTACTCGTAGATTGTCTAGTAGATTGTTTTAAAATTTAAAATTTTGAATATAGTTTTAATGTATCATATACAGAAACTGAAGATACCATTATTATAGAGAAATGTTTATGGT